GGTGTATAGAATCATCTTTTTTAAAATCATGAAGTGATATAGGTTTGGAGAAGAAAGCCTTTTGTGCCATTTATACACAGGAGTAGGATCAAAGCGTGTTTGGAAGAACACTTGTCATAATATTGTTTGGTTTGGGGATTATTTGAATATTCATCTAATATTGTGTTTGTCTGTTTCCTTACAGCCTGGAATTACCATATGAATTGATTTTCGAATGTGATGGAACAGAATACGAGGTCACCGTCAATGGTCAATCCAATATTGAAGTAAACCTGCACGATCTGCCCACAAGGGGGATCTTGAGCATCCGGCAGGAGGGGATGGTCATGGTGTGCGTCAGGTTGAGACAGGATGATGTTTAAGTTTATGTAAGACTTTACCTTAGGATGTATAGGTTTTAGCAGAGCCATCAATAAACAAAGTTCGGCCAACCCGGCTCGTTTAGGTTATAACATGGCGCATATTGCTTTGTTAGGCAAGCACAATACAAAAGAAAATGCGCCATGTTGTTACCCAAATGTAACCGAGTTGGCCAAACTCTGTTTACTAATGGCTCTGGGTTTTAGTTGAAGGTATCAAGTACATGTTCATGTTAATATTATTTTGATTTGGATATAATTGGTGATGTACATTGCCTGTATTTTCCTTTAGTTTTATTATTATTTTTGCTTTTGGTAACTTTCAAGAAACTTCTTTCATACATCTAAGATAATAAAATAAAAGGTATACACTCAATAGAGCTTTCATTTTTGTGATCTTGCTTGAAAAAATATGGGTTATCAAAAATAATGCAAATTACAGGCAGTGCCACTAATTATTTTAGATATGTAACATTTGACTTACATTGAATCAATGTAAGTATTATCAATTATGTTGTGCAGAAAGTATGATTATTTAATTGTTTTCCAGATGAGCATGATGCTAATGAAACTATTTTTGATACTGTTATATTGGTAAACAAACCCAAATACCTAGACATGCATACTTTAGTTAGAAATATAGTATTATTATGTTTTTCCTATGTAAACATGTATTAAATTTTCACTAAACAGAAAAACCTCCAAAAAATTATGTTACCAAATATATGCAAAACTCCATTTTTATTAAAAAAATGAAGTTTATTTTTGTTATTGTGGTAAAAATGTTTGTTTTATATTTTCTATGATATGTAAACTTTTGACCCCAATCGTACATTTAAATGTGATTTTGTTGTTTTGGATATGGTTATACATAGTTGTTGGTTTTAACTGTTGGAATACAGAGGTTAAAGGTCAAGGGCCACAGATGTCACCCTTTTTTGAAATAATTTGTTTGAAGGGGGAGGCATATTAGACGTAGGTGTATAAATTGTCTTGTTTATATTTTTGTTAGCAATTTATACTATATACATGTAATTTTAAAGGTGAATTTTAAGTGTTAGTTTTGGAGCCTGACAACCTTTTTTTTTGGGGGGGGGGGGGGAGTATTGAGAATATTCTCCATAATGTTGGTTATAATTGTTCTATTTTATCAACTTCCGTCACATTGTTTGCGTTTTGTTTGAAACTGTTGGGTTTGAAAGTTCGATCCTGTAAGATATGTTACAATTTTCTTGTGCATTATAGATATTTCTGTTCATGGTCAAGTATTAAGTTGCATTTGAATCATTGCTTTCTTAAAATGTGTTAATTGTATGACAGAGAGTAAGTAAAAAAATATGATTACAGAGATTTTACGTTCCGTATGAAAGTTATATCGATCCGGTAATATTCCTGTGCCGTATGGATATTAATAGGTCAAGTGTAAAGATGTATATGAATGATTGCTTTCCTAAAATGTGTTAATTGTAGGTCAGAAAGTAAGATAATAAAAATAAAAGGTATACACTCAATAGAGCTTTCATTTTTGTGATCTTGCTTGAAAAAATATGGATAATCAAAAATAATGCAAATTACAGGCAGTGCCACTAATTATTTTAGATATGTAACATTTGACCTAGATTGAATCAATGTAAGTATTATCAATTATGTTGTGCAGAAAGTATGATTATTTAATTGTTTTCCAGATGAGCATGATGCTAATGAAACTATTTTTGATACTGTTATATTGGTAAACAAACCCAAATACCTAGACATGCATACTTTAGTTAGAAATATAGTATTATTATGTTTTTCCTATGTAAACATGTATTAAATTTTCACTAAACAGAAAAACCTCCAAAAAATTATGTTACCAAATATATGCAAAACTCCATTTTTATTAAAAAAATGAAGTTTATTTTTGTTATTGTGGTAAAAATGTTTGTTTTATATTTTCTATGATATGTAAACTTTTGACCCCTATCGTACATTTAAATGTGATTTTGTTGTTTTGGATATGGTTATACATAGTTGTTGGTTTTAACTGTTGGAATACAGAGGTTAAAGGTCAAGGGCCACAGATGTCACCCTTTTTTGAAATAATTTGTTTTAAGGGGGAGGCATATTAGACGTAGTTGTATAAATTGTCTTGTTTATATTTTTGTTAGCAATTTATACTATATACATGTAATTTTAAAGGTGAATTTTAAGTGTTAGTTTTGGAGCCTGACAACCTTTTTTTTTGGGGGGGGGGAGTATTGAGAATATTCTCCATAATGTTGGTTATAATTGTTCTATTTTATCAACTTCCGTCACATTGTTTGCGTTTTGTTTGAAACTGTTGGGTTTGAAAGTTCGATCCTGTAAGATATGTTACAATTTTCTTGTGCATTATAGATATTTCTGTTCATGGTCAAGTATTAAGTTGCATTTGAATGATTGCTTTCTTAAAATGTGTTAATTGTATGACAGAGAGTAAGTAAAAAAAAATATGATTACAGAGATTATACGTTCCGTATGAAAGTTATATCGATCCGGTAATATTCCTGTGCCGTATGGATATTAATAGGTCAAGTGTAAAGATGTATATGAATGATTGCTTTCCTAAAATGTGTTAATTGTACGTCAGAAAGTAAGGAAATATTTGAAAAAATGTTATTTACTAAGTTTAGATTGTTGCAAGAAATTAACATTTGAAATGTTTCACAATAGGAGCAAAGTATACACATCTGGGGTAGATTTAATTTGTAATGTTTTATTTGTTGTGAAGATTTTAGTAGTTATTAGCACAGTTTAAAACAAAATATGTTATAGTGCATCCCATAAAAAAGTACCCTGTACTCTTATTTCCTCATAAGGTATAACTTACCATGAAAGTAATTAAGTTCTGTATTATTGAAGAGAATATAAGTTAATCTTTAACATGAAATAAAACAAGGTCATACAATTTATACATATATATATGATGCTTTTAAATTTGGGTATACTATTTTTTTCTGTGATGCATGTGTAGTGTTTAACATATACAATTGGATCAACAATACAATGATACAGATGAAAAGTTGCATAAAGTTGCTTCTATTAGTGTTTATATTTGTATTAAAGTATTTTTTAATATAGTTTCATGAATAACTGTTTAAATTTATTTATGTGATTGAAATACTAATCAGGGGATGGTGTTGTCCATGAATGAATTGTAGAGATGAATTCTATGTGCCATGTACAGTGTATGTGCATTGTTATACAATGATTCTTATTTCTTTGAGGAGTGAGTGAATAGGTTTCAAGTTGTAATAGTGTTATCATATTAGATTACAGTATTCCTGTTATATCGAGTTTAGATACAATGCATGTTATGCACTTTTCCAAATGTCGTTATAACAGGAGTGGACTGTATTGGATTGTGCTTCAAGTGGTCTTAGAAAAGTGTTAGATATGGACTGAGGTGGCCTGTGGAGGTGGCACAATGTATAGATGATGCCATTTGAAAACTGGATTGAGTTTGCATAAAGATTTTAAACCGGTCTCGGTTGGTCCTGGAATTGATGTGTGAAGCACCAAAGTGGACTCGGGTTGGCTTATAATGGAACTGACATAATTATCTGAAAGATTTTATTTTTTGTTTTTTTAATTTATAAGCCAACTCGAGTCCATTTTTGTGTTTATGACAATTATGTTGTTGATGAAGATATTGATGATATGATGTTGATAATGATGATGGTGCATGATGATGATTATGATGATAATGATGTATATGGAGATGAAGATGATTATGGTCATCATAAGGGTGATCCTTGGTAGGATTGTTGTGATGATCATTGTGATTGTGACAAGATAATGCAGTGGCGGATCTAGGATTTAAAAGGGGGATCCGAAAATGGGGGGGGGGGGGGTGCACCCAAATTTTTATGATTTTAACATGCAGTCAATGAGTGGTTTTCACAAAAATAGGGGGCGTCGATTGTGTCCACCCCCATCCCCCCGGATCCACCACTGATGATGGATCTCTTACATTTAAGACTTGGCAGTTAAGTTGAAAACCAAAATTCATTTGGGACATGGCTTTACTGGACAAAGACCAAAGTGTTGCCTATTATGATTATTTAAACTGAAAATGAGATTTTCATATCAATATTCAAGTGAAATAAATATGGGCATTTATGATTTGATTTGAAAGAAAGAATAAGAATGTTAGCCTACAGAATTTTTAAAAAATGATCAAGCACAAGGAAAACCCAGAGCTTTATAAATGTATTATGTATAATTATTTGTTTAGATGCCTCAGTTTTAATTGCAAGAGTAGTCTACGATATCTTTTTACAATAAAAATATCAATCAATTTGTAGATAACATAGACTTGGTGAATTACCTGATGAATTTAATTTTGCAAGATTTCTTTCTTTTCAATTTTTATTTTTGTTTTAGAGAATACCGTAATGCCTTTTTTTTAATACATTTATTTATGTATTGTGTGTATGTGATATAACAAATAATCTGCACGTACTGTTAAAAAACACTAACAAAGCCCATGAATGTTTTGCTTACAATATTATTTTTCGATACTATCTTAAAAGATAGATAAATATAAAACGAAATAAATATATTTTTAAAAAATACAAAAATGAGAGATATAACGCGTGCCGTAAAGTATTTTGGTGACAATAGTCAAATTACTGACTAATCGCCATTAAACCAAAACACAACAACAACATTTGTCGTCGCGAGAGCATCGTCACTTTGTGGTTTGTCTCTTGGACAAAATCTTGCCTTGTGAAGCCGAATCTTGACCTTAGTTGTACACGTCGTTTAGGTAAGTTGATTATTCGAGATTTCCTTCTCATTATGCTGCATGGAAAGTCATGTTTGCAGCCACACGTTAGTCAAAACACACCCCTGTACCGCTTACCGTACAGAGCAGACTCAGAGGTTTATAATTGTTGCTGCGGCGTTGTGTATAGGGAGGCCGGCGCTAGTGTAGTTCCGTGTCCATTTTTTTTAGCAGTTTCATATCCATTCTTAGCAAAGGAAATTTAGCCCAATTTTTTACTAATTTTAATTCATAGCCATAGGTCTAAAAGTTTGATCTAGACCTAGACATAGACTAGTTTGGATCACATCCGACATCAGGAAACCTCCGTTTAAACTTTAAGGCTTCGAATCGATGTCGATGTTGTCGCTCAGTACCGTCTCTAGATCTACGCTAGATCTATAGCTTTGCAACTCAAACTGAAGCTATCAGTCCAAAATTATGCAAACTTCTCGTATGGTTTATGGTATCGTGCATGCGAGAAATGTGCATAATTTTGGACTGATAGCTTCAGTTTGAGGTGCAGAGCTATAGCGTAGAGATGGTACTGAGCAACGACGTCGACATCGAAGCCCTAAACTAAACGGAGGTTTCCCGATGTCGGATGTGATCCAAATTCAGGTGGAAAATGCAATAGGCCCTAGACCTCTATATCATGATTATGATTCAAATTAGTAACAAATTGGGCTAAAATTCCTTTGCTAAGCCTAAGAATGGATTATTAAACTGCTAAAAAAATGGATACGGAACTACTCTAGCGCCGGGAGGCCAATGCCCAAATCTAACTTTTTAATTACTACTTTGTTTATAATAAAACTAAGATTAAAAGAAAGCATTTACTTTCACTAAGACAACTCACCCATCTGCCGACTCCAGAATGTCCATAAAATAGGAGATATCCAGCTCATAATTATACATTTCCTTCTACGCGCGCGCCTGGCCGTCCGTAAGACGAGCCTTGAAACAATCAATTTCAATTACGTTGAGAATTAGACAGGCCCGAGGGAATGGGCGTGTCATCATGGTCATTGCCCGGACAACAAGTTCAAAACTTCGCGCGAAAGTACATTCATTCAGGTACGGTAATTGCATGCAAACCGCAATCGAGCCATGCTAGCCATGGCATGGAGGGTCAAAACATGATAGAGAGAAAGCTCGAAAGCCACTCATTGTAAATTAAGAAAGTAATTGAAATAAATAAATAGATCTAGGCCTAGAGGTCTACCTTAGTTTTGCGATGTATTCCAATTACTATTTCCTCATGAGTAAAGATCTGACACTGCATTATCATCGATCGATAAATCCAACTTGCACTTGTAGCGATCACAATACGGAATCAAACATGACTGCACGCATTGATAGACGTGTACTACTTACGGAGATATTTCTCTCCCTCTCTCTCTCTCTCACTAACCATATGATGATATCATACACTAAAACACACACGTTCAAATCATGGCATTCATTACACTTCTCAATTGGAGTATAGACTGCTCACATAGACTTTTTTTTTTTACTGAAATGTCTTTTGTTACACTTCTCATACATTACTGCACGACACTGGTGTCTAGTGCTGAGAATAAGGTACTATGTGTGAGACTACGTCAAATTTGTTTTGCGCGCGATGAGACCGGAGCTCATACATATTCATATAATGATGTCGCAAGACTTCTATTTGGGGCTGGAACAATGAGGTCTCTGTTCACAGTTTTTCTTCTCAATTTGAGATGGCTCTAGCTATGGGGCTCAAACCGACGCAAGATTGACAAAAACATCGTACTCTATCTACCTTCGAATGTGCAGTTTGTAAAAATCTGCAATTAAAAAGATATAATCTTTTTTCTTTATATTTTCTAGTTGTTAAAAGTGACATTTGTGCACATCTGATATGTTAATCTCTATCAAAAGTTCTTTGATATTAAATTGATTCCATATTTTTAGGCTTTACCTTCAGTCATTGAGAAGGATTTTAGTGAGCTAACCTCATCGCCCTCTAGGACCCTTCTAGTTTCTCTTGTGCGTCCGTTATTTCGTCTGCTAGCCCAATTAATGGATTAAAATATGTCAAAATCTGGAAGATCGTCAATAAATGGTGAAAGATCGTTACAGATCCGAGATTATAGGTATGTTGTGGAGTGTGTAATTGTGTATTTGTTATACATTTTATTCCATAGATATTTTTTTTCTTTTTTTTCCCCTTTTTTTTCTTCTGGTAATTTTCTGACTTGGACGACGAGCGCACAAATCGTAGGCGTAGAAGCCTTACGCCCGGGCATTGGCCTCCCTACTAAGACCTTGCAGGCTTACCAAAAAGTCAATGGGATTCATTGCCTTGATTAAAAATAAAATCCATACAGTGGGTCTAGAGACGAGTCCACATCAGACAGCTGAAATTCCTGGCTTCATTATAAAATCCAAAAGTCAAAACAGGCCTAAATCCAAGGCAAAAGTAAAATAAAAGGGGGGGGGGGAAATTGCGCCCTAATTTTTTTTTTTTTTATATATTTTTTAAAATTCTGTGTGTGTGCCATTACTAATGGCAAAATGCCCATTCTGACCTCTAAAGTATCCTACAAGCATCTCACATCGGCCATTTGGGGATGTTCATTGGTTCATTGAACACACCAGTCGTGACAAAATCATGCATATTCAGCCAATGATCCATAACAAATTTTCTTCCTGTTTGTAGGAACTGTAAGAGGCATTGATCCATCATGTCACAGTCCGTGTTTATTTTTAAGAATATAACTTTTGTCAGTAAAATACAACTTTTGGGATTAAAGAATACAGTTTTTGAACTCTTGAGGTTGGCAGGTCTGAGTACGTACAGTACATATGTACTACGTACACAGTACATGCAGTCTAGTCATTACGTCACGATCACATCACCATGGTACCAGCACGCACACAGCTAGCTGTGCGCGTTAATTTATTTATCCGGTGCGCGCATGCATGCGCATTGGGTCTATCGTCAGAATTAACGCCTATTGGCCATGCGCAGAAGTCATGACTAAAAGTTAAACACGACTTGCGCAGAACTTAAACAGTTTAGTTAAACACGACTTAGACAGGACTTAAACAGTTGTTTAGTTAGACAAGACTTAGACACTACTTCAGAATACAAAATTTAGTTAAACAGGACTTAGACATGACCTCGCGTTAAAGTCGTGTCTAACTAAACAGTCGTTTAACTTAAGACATGACTAAGGGCGCGTTTATCTAGGCTTGCCATTAGATATGTACATATCGTACCCCACTATCGAAACCCACTATCGAACCCCACTATACGATCGTGATTTGCGGGATGTCGCGTTTATCTACACTTCACGATTCACAATAAAGGCCTTGTCTCTTCGCAGCTGCTCAGCTCCGTTTGACCCGGAAGCAGACAGTTTCTCGGAGGTCAACTTCACACGTATGCTTGTACACAACACCTGTGTGGTCCTATTTGTATGTGAGGTACAAAACAGCTTTGCGTTTATCGATCTCTCAGAAACGTGATTCTGGCTGTATGTCACATACAAAACGCACCTTTTTGCGTCTTTTGATATGCCCATATCTAAAGACGTTTGAAAAAGGCTTTGCGTTTATCTACTTCTAAATTTGCCTGAAAGACGTTTGAGAAACCTGATTCTAGCCAAAAATTTGCTAGATAAACGCAACCTATGTTAGACACAACTTCAGAATACGGGCCGTTGTATTTATGTAATTCAGCATTATGAATGAGGCCTCATTATTTCCATTTGTATTTATTTTTGTGATATGTTCATTTCTGGAATTTTATGCAATGTAATTGTTTTTTTGTTTTTTTCTATTTGTATTTCAGTTTTGACTGTTCTTTAGAGACTTGGTTAGTACCGGTAAGTTGATATTAGTTGTTAATAGAGAGTAAGTTGATCTGCTTAAGAAGGCTGAAGTCAAGTAGTTTTTAAATTAAAGCTACGATGGAATGAAACAGATCTGCATAATTGGGAACATAATTGAACGCGGAATAGGAAAGCTATGGCTTAATGAAATTTTCTATATAACATTTTTGACACTTTCGTAAGTATGTAACATCATTTTGTGGACAATTCTCAATACTCTTTCATTGGTGTTGCCAAAATTTGAAGAGAATCCATGAATTATGTAAGGAGTTGATAAAGAAGAACAAGTTTGTTTGTTTTTAAACACCTAGTGCAAATGATAGATGTATTTTGATTTTAGTCCAATGCAATACATATAGTACAGCTGACCTTGCCTTAGTCGAACTTGGATAAGTCAAAAATTGCTATGGTTGAAAGTCTACACGTAGCCCAACCTGTTTTGTCCTATTATTTTATGATCGTCCTAAATCAAAATTTGTCTAAGTTAAAGCTATTTTATGGGTCCCAAAAGATTTGAGTTAGGCCATTAATTTTTTTTTACATGTTTAGCGTCCCCGCCCGCTTCATTTTTGGGGGGGGGGGCCTCCTTTCTTTTCTTTTTTTTCTTCTTTTTTTAATACAATTTTGATGATGGCTAGGTGGCTTCCAAAAGAATGAATGGAATCTTGATACATATTTGTACTGCCCTCATGCTATCTGAAAGAAACCTATCAGGATGGATAATTAATGTAGGTGACCTTTGGGGAAAAATCAATTGTAGCATGTTAATTTAGCATCAAAAGTACATACGGTAGGTAGTGTTTTGTCAAGTCCAGGGCCCTGTGGTATAAAACTATTGTATCTTTACAATTAATGGTATCTCTGCAAACACTGCTTAGCTAATAAAAATCAAGAAATCAATGGTATTTACCATAGTTTGTAGAGATATCATTAATTGTAAAGATACGATAGTTTTATGCAATGGGGCCTTGATGGTTGATATGTATGACATACTGAATTGTTATAATGAGGTTGGACTGTATTATGAAATGTTTGAGTGACATCAAAGTATGCAAATTAGTTGTTACCAAAGTTGAATTTGTGATGCAATCTAACTTGGTTTATTTAATTGTTTGTTTTTTATATTTTTGTCATGTTTTACTTGTACTTTTTATTTTTTGTTTTGATGACAGGTGCTTTGGACTTTGACAGGGGCTTTGGACTTTGACGGAAGAAAGTTTTTGGAGTGTAGGTATACCGAGTGTCTAAAAAAATCAAAGTTGAAACTTTTAAATATTCTGCCAAATAAATAAAAAATGTGAAACATTCTCGGGAAATTGTCATATGTATGGATGGGTGAAGCTCTTGTCTATCATATGATGCCAACACATGTGATAATAATTCATACTTGGATGAGCACTGGCCACTTTTGTACAGGGTATGAAAATTAGATTGTGCAAGATTTGGCTGTTCAATTTGGCTGAGCGAGAAGTCCCCAAGCATAACAATTGTTAATGATCTGATGAATTTATGATTAATTACGATGGATATGGGTTTGTGCTGTGTGTGATGTGTCCCACCTCTTGCCCCACCCCACCCAACTTCATTTAAAGGAGAATGAAACCCTGATTGTTATGCCTCCGTTACGAAGTAGCCGGAGGCATTATGTTTTCGGTTGTCCGTCCGTCTGTATGTACGTACGTACGTCCCGTTTTCGTGATCGCGTTATCTGAAGAACCGATTGATGGATTTGTGCCAAACTTTGGTCATGTATGTATCTTGCAGAGCCGATGAACTGATTAGATTTTGGGATTACGAGGTCAAAGGTCACAGGGCTCATTATGTATGCAAAAACAGCTCGTGATCGCGTTATCTGAAGAACCGATTGATGGATTGCTGCCAAACTTAGGTCATGTATGTTACTTGCAGAGTCGATGAATTGATTAAATTTTGGGGTCACGAGGTCAAAGGTCAAAGGCCACAGCGCACATTATGTATGCAAAAACAGCTTGTGATCGCGTTATCTCAAGAACCAACCGATGGATTCCTGACAAAATTAGGTCATGTATGTTACTTGCAGAGCCAATGAACTGAGTAAATTCTTGGTTCATAAGGTCAAAGGTCATGGGCTCATTATGTATGCAAAATAGCTTGTAATCACGATATTCTGAGAACCTGTTAATGGATTACAATTGAATTTGAATTCGAAAAATTTCTTCTGTCTTGGTTTGTAAAATTGCTTTATGACGGAGGCATCATTTTCGACTGCACGCAGTCGAATTCCATCTAGTTAAAATATAGATTCGGCCTGGATAGATATCACATAGTCCCATATACATCTTTCTGTGTACAGTGCTTTTAATTTACCAAAACTGGGCAAAATTTGTATCATTTTGATGATTCCAGAACCTTGCAGTACACCAATACTTATAGATGATCAAACTTTTCTGATCGATTCCACAACGTTTCTTTTCACAATGCAATTGAATTGCATGACCAGAACTGGTCTATACCTTTAATAATATAATTTTAATTATTATACAAATACGATACAGTGGATTCTAACTAGACATACAATGTTTGTTACAGGTGGATTTGGTGGATGAGGAGGAGGACGCTGTTTCGGTGGACGAGGCGGCGGTGGACGCGGAAGGGGAGAATTCGGCGGAGGAAGGGGACGAGGAGGTATGTCTTGTTTATTTTCACCATCTTTGGAACGGTAGTTACTAAGGACTTTGATGGATGAAAATTATCATCACAATATGATTGATTTCAATCCAAACAGATAAGATCATTCTCGATTTTCATGCCTCCACTACAAAGTAGCCAGAGGCATTACTCTCAAACTGAAATAGCTTGTAATCAAAATATTCTGAGAACCTGATAATGGATTACAATCAAACTTGATAATGGATTACAATCAAACTTGAATATTAAAAATTGCTTCCGATTTGGTTTGTAAAATCGCTCTATAGCGGAGGCATCATTTTCGACTGCACGCAGTCTAAGTTCCATCTAGTTAGTCTTATTGTGTTAATCAAAAGTTAAATAATTATTATTCTGTGTGTGTCGCGTAGTCCCACATACATCTTTCTGTGTACAGTGCTTGTAACTTTACCAAGACTGGGTCAAATCTCATCATTTTGATGATCCAGATCACACCAATACTTATATGCTAGCTGAGCAACCTTTTCTGATCGATTCCACAACGTTTTTTTCACAATGCAATCGCATGACCAAAACTGGTCTTTGCCTTCAAAGGTACTATGTCCATTTGCAGGCCAACAAAATGAAAAGGTTAAATTTCAACAGCATTTGAAAGATAATACTAATTTAGAACTTCCCTAAAAAAAGGGGGGCTTGAAAATGTCTTTAAGTTGGAAAATAACGACTATTAGTTGTCAAATCGACTTAAGAGCTATAGAGCCAGTAAGTAATGGTCTGATTTTCAGACCATTGTACCGAATGGTCGTACATTTTATGCTGCGCAAAGATTCAATCAGTTTAATTTTGGCATTACAAGCAGAAGTGGGATATTGATGTTGACAAATGCTCATATACCCTTTACAGCTCATTTATGTACATGTATGTTATTTCCAAAGAAGAAAAAAGCTAGTGAGTCACTCAATAGTGTCTGACAGTGAAGCTAATGTAGCAAGTAAACGGGTTTCTTTGCATAATTTGAATATTAGGACACTGCTAACATTTAAACTTCACAGATAGGACATACATGACATATTCATAATTCCTATAAAGTTCTACAGAATTTGATTGTGGCTGCAAAAGGGACATAGTATCTTTAAGCATTGAATGAGGGCTCACTATTTGTATTTATTTTTGTAATATAATCATATTGGTATTTTATGAAATGCAATTGTTTTTTTTCTTTTCTTTTCTTTCAGGTTATTGACTGTTTTCAAGATTGCTGAGAGTTGCAGAGAGTAAGTTGATCTGCTTAAGAAGGCTAAAGTCAAGTAGTTTTTAAAATAAAGCTACAATGGAATGAAACAGATCTCCATAATTGGGAACATAATTGAACGCGGAATAGGAAAGCTATGGCTTAATGAAATTTTCTATGACACTTCCGTAGGTATGTAACATAATTTTGTGGACAATTCTCAATACTCTTCCATTGGGTGTTGCCAAATTTGAAGAGAATCCTTGAATTATGTAAGGAGTTGATAAAGAAGAACAAGTTTGTTTGTTTTTAAACACCTAGTGCAAATGATAGATTGTTGGAGAAGTCGAGCAGGCTGTAGAGCCCCAGCGATGCCTGGGCGGTGACCTGTCGATTTCCCGTCGGTGGCCGGTCGATTTTAGGTAAAAAACTGGGCGAATTCGCGGAGCTTTTTCGCGCGGTGTCCCGGCAGTGACCGACCGATGACCCTCCGATTGCCGGGCGGTCTCCCACCAGCCACCGGCTGATTTTAAAGAAATTGCCTGGCGGCCGGCCAGTGATCGGCGGGGCTCCAAAATACGCTCGGTGCCTGGCCGTTCGCCGCCCGGGCACCGAAATAATCGAGCGTTCGCCGCCGAGCAATTTAGGTCAAAAATCGAAGGCGCTAGGGTCAAAGGCTGCCGACCTATTTTGGACTCGCCGCCAGGTGACCGACTGATCTCCCAGCGGCGACCGGGCGGCGACTGCTCGACAGCCTTTGACCTAGGGGCTTCGATTTTTGACCTAAATCGCTCGACGGTGAACGCTCGATTAGGCCGGCGTCCGGGCGGCGACCGGTCGCCGAGCGATTTTAGGTAAAAACTGGGCGAAATCGCGGAGCTTTTTCGCGCGATGTCCCGGCAGTGACCGACCGGTGACCTCCGATTGCCGGGCGGTCTCCCACCAGCCACCGGCTGATTTTAAAGAAATTGCCCGGCGGCCGGCCAGTGATCGGCGGAGCTCCAAAATACGCTGGGTGCCTGGCCGTTCGCCGCCCGGGCACCGAACTAATCGAGCGTTCGCCCCCGCCGAGCAATTTAGGTCAAAAATCGAAGGCGCTAGGTCAAAGGCTGCCGACCTATTTTGG